TTTTATTTAGATTAAGGGTTCCCATCATCCCCATTTCCATTTAAATTGCAAAACCGAGTTTAATTAAATGTCTTTTAATGTAAATCGTTATCTTTGTCTTCTGGATAATAATGTTCACCCATTCTTCCAGCAAATTAATAATAAACTTTATTTGATATAGCATTTTAAACGAATAAGTAATTAGATTGGTCATAAACCTAATCACTTATTCTACATGAACACAACGTAATTGCCCTCTGAAAATGCTCTTTTTCTTCTTATTTAGGCTCAGATTTCAACTATAGATCACACACTAATTACTAGCAGTAAATACTGATGTTTTGCTCCCTCTTACCACAAAAATCTTAAAAATAATGTATTGTAGGTGGGAAGAACTTTTTTTCGAACGTGTCTCTACCTACTGCAACTCGGACACGGAATGGTTAAAAATGGCTTCAACTCAGGCACCCAGAGATGGGGGGGCGTCTTTCCGCTTCCATAACTAAAATGCCAAATAGGAGTAGTTTTTAATTCAGTTTGAATAATAACTGTATGTACTGTCTTCGGATTTGGCCAGGGCTTTAAAGAGAGGGTGCGCCAAAATTTTTCGGTGCCGTCATCTGCGCTTTAAAGGTACCCCAGTCGCGGAAGAATTTGACCTCGGAACGTTTACCCAGCATCATTATTGTATTTCATGCACTTTGACAGATTGTCTTTAAATCAGTTGTTGTCAGAATATCCCCACCTCCAAACAAGAACAAAATTGCAACGATTTTATTAACTGGCTGTTTCAGAAACCTAAAGTATATAAAGTAATAATTTAACAATATATGTAAATGTTTTAAGATATGTTTACGTTGTGAATGTCTGTAGATTGTATCTTATTTTTAGTTTTTGTTTTGTTTCATGTTGATTTTATAAGGGAATCTTGATTAAAATACTTTTATTTTTTCACAATCTGGTAATGCCAGACAGAATTCACATTCGCTGCAGCCAAATGGCCTTGCAGATCAGAAAATCAAGGAACAAAACAATTATCACGCCCGGCTCCTCAATGGAATCGCTTTAACATGCTAATGCGTTGGTGTAACACTCTGTGTCTACAGTACATTGTGAACAAACCGGTTTCACAGGTATTTTCAACCCCCAACCACTGTTGTTTCCTTGGTTGTTATCCTGTAAAGCGCTATATAAAACAAAGTTTATTATTAGTATTATTAATATTGATCATATTTTTCCTCCCAGAACTTGTAAATTGTTGTTGTTATTGTTGTTGTTATCCTGTAAAGCGCTTTGAGAAGCATACTGTCCAGCTTGTCAGGTGCATTCTCTTGTAAAATAATAAGTAGAGCTTTGGGCTTATTAGTGCTCCACTTACAGCAACCCAATGTAAATACATTTTGTATCCAAATCCACCACCACTTGTATGAATCATAGCCCTTCCAAATGATACAAATTCTGCTGCAATGGTTGTGTGCAGGAATTATTCAGTATGGAATCTCCATGTTCAAGTAAACACTGCTCTGTGTGCAAATGCATTTAAAAATAGTTTAAAAAAAAAGCCACCTTTAAATGTGCTTTATAAAATAAAGTTTATTATTATTATTATTAATATTGATGATATTCTTCCTCCCAGGACTTGAAAAATTGTTGTTGTAATTGTTGTTATCCTGTAAAGCGCTTTAAGAAGCATACTGTCCAGCATATTGTATTTCATTGCACTTTGACAGATTGTCTTATAATCACTTGTTGTTAGAATATCCCCCAGGAGGATATCCCCCAAGAGGTATCCAAGTAACAGTGAAACGGGTGTAAAGTCTGGGGAGATCGCCCGTTTTCCATGTAGATAGTACCCTGGTTCCGCACCCCTTGGTGTCTCTCTCTCTCTTTTTCTCTCTCTCTCTGTCTCTCTCTCTGTCTCTCTCGGGCCCGCGCTCTTGGAGGGCTTGTCTTGTGTTTCTCTCTCGTCTGGGGAGGGAGTGCTGCTGGCGGGTGGTGACGGAGAAGAAATAAAATGCAGTACAAGTTTGAGTCTCTGTGTTCGTCCTCAACGAACCCAAATTCATTACATTGGTGTCAGAAGCGGAAGAATGGACAGTGAACGGCCGATAATGTCGGACTCAGAGAAGCGCCAGTTCCCCCAGCAGCCAAGTGACCCCCTAAAGCACCTCAAAGCGCTTTACGGGATAACAACCGATGAAACATCAGTGGTTAATTTATTATTAGCACAATTAGCACAATGGTTAATTTATTAGTGCAAAATTTAATATTATTGATTACTAATAGTTTATGCTAACACCTAGCTTTCTTAACGCGAGAAGTACTACCATAAGTAAGTACTGTACAGTAAGTACTTATATATAACCCTGTACTGTACTTAAGTACTTACTGTACTGTACTTAAGTACTACTACTGTAAGCAAAAAAGGGGGTTTTGGGGGGGGGGGTGACTTGCCCCCTTCTACTTACCTGTAAAAATACCTGTGAAACCGGTTTAATTCGTCACCTCCAGCACTCCCGCAGCGAGTGATGAAAACTGAGCAGCGCCAGGCGAATTCACATTAATATGTTGGGCTTTTGGGCTCCGGTGGATTTGCACCCTACAGTTCAACCTGCAGTACCGCTGTGTACTGTACATACAGTATAAATGTGTTATTTTGAAATATAAAAAATGTCAATATACTTCAGGAGAAATTGAGTGTTGGTGTGTATTTTGTCTTTAAAATACCAATAACAGCAACATACAGTTTACATAATATGTTTATGTTCCTAAATTAATATCGTTTATGACCTTTATGACCTTCGTTATGCTCCTCTGCATTATATGCTTAGCTACTAAAATTTCCCTTTAGTGGTAAAATTCCAGATAAATATTCAATACAAAGCGGATTAAAATGTGCACAGTAAAGAGATTAAATTATTAAATCTTTTCACTAACGACCAATATACCACATTATCTTCTGTGTCGCATTAACATTGGAATTTTTTTTTTACAAGTGTCAAAAGAAGCGATACACAACCTGTCTCCTCTATAACTCTTCAGTTTACAGAGAAATTCCGCCAGAGCCTCACAACATTGTCCAATAATACTCTTCTTGTGTCTAATTTTTAGTTAAGCAGGATTTGAATCACAGACCATAACAGACCAAAAAGCAGAGTCCACCTGCGATTCAGGTGTTAACAAAACATGCTTACAAAGAAAGTGAAATACAGTAATACTACCAGCTATATAGATACATAGATTTTGATATTTAGATCCTTAAATTAATATCATTATTAATTTATTTAGATATGTGATTACATATTCTCGATTATAAAACAGATAATTCTGGTCCTGGAATCTGACTGGCTGACACCCTTCTAAAGCGGTGCCATAATCTCTGGTATACGGACGCCGCTGAAATTTGACTTGTTACTGTGTGATAAATTTTAAAGACTATTTCTTAGCGTAGATAAGAAAGCATAGATAAAAAAGATTGGATTCTCATGTATCTGGTACAAGTATCTTTTAATAAAGTCTTTGTTGTGCTCTTGAGGATCCTTGTGATATTTTGAGCTCTGGTTGAATGATGTGTCGCAGTTTCAATAATTTTCGTTGTTAGAAATTATGAAACGCTCTGTTAAAAGCAAGGGAGTTTTTATGTCTGTGATAGGAAAAGAAAATGCCCGACGAACTAGGGATTTCACTGTTTTTCAGTGCTTGTACAATTGATGGAAATGTGCAAAAGAAATAAACAAAAAAAGTAGTTAAGGTGGGTAGCTGCGTCAGCATGCGTAGGCTGCAAAGGAACAAGTAATAGGTTTATTCCATGCTGAAAAAAAGAAGAGAGAAAAAACACAACGTTGTGTTTTTTCTCTCTTCTTTTTTTCAGCATGGAATAAACCTATTACTTGTTCCTTTGCAACAAAAAAAGTAATTTATACCTTTATCATATTGGCTAGCTAATGTCCCATCCTTGTTAGTTAGATCAACGAAATGCTGTGGTGTTACTTTTTGTCAATGAAAAATAAAGTCTTTTCATTTAAAATGATGGTTACAAATAATGTGGACCAGCATAATACTTTGAGTTTACAACTTGTCCAAGGTCATTCATTATTAATAATATGAGTAATATCGTCAGTAAAGGCTTTGATGCATAAAATACTTCTGCATAATTAAAATATTTCTGATAAAGGTAGGTTGTGTACTTTTGCCAAACTGAGCAATCTTGCTTTCATAAAATATACCAAAGCTCAAATGCTGTACATTAGAGGTTAAGCTTTATTGGCTCCTCCTGGCGGTTTTACAAGGTGATTCCAGATACTTTCTGGTATGACATTCAATGACGCAATACACTGCGTGAAACTGCTGATGCACGCCCACCGCGGTATATCACAAAATACCCCACCAGCATATTATATTAGCAGTCAAATATATAGCTGATTACAAAAATATACACTGTTATTGAAACTAAAGCATGAAAAAACAACAAAATTACAAATCTGTAAATGTACTGTAACTAGATAGACTGCATAATTTAATGTGTTGCTTTCTTTTTCTAACGTTAGTCCAACTGCTGAACAGACTATCACCATCTCATTTTATAAGATTTATTGCACATGGAAACCCAGACAATGTCTCAAAAAGTTCTTTCTCATATCATAATCATAATTTGCTTTCATCGTATCATCAATATAATAATTTTAATTCTGTTTTAGTTATTGTAATCTCATGTTGCTTCAACAATGAAGCATCTAACTGAAAAGCATTTGATTAATTAATTAAAAATATATACTGTACTTTATAGTTATATGTGCAGAGTGAACAATGAGCTGCAGAGGTCATTGCAATCATCCATTACAAAAGTTTACTTAGATAGATAACTTTTTTTTTCTTCTTCTTTGAAGAAAGCTTTCTTTTGATAAGTTGTGAGGAGTGGGCGGACAACCAACAACCTAGCAGCATTATCCGTTTATGCAAAATGAGTCCCCCCAATCAAATTATGTATCAACTTTAACATCCGTCTTACTGTTAACCTATAATACTTTTTACTTTTCCATTCTCAGGTTAAACATCAGATCAGAATGCTCAAATGCTGTCTTCTTATGTGTCTCTTCAGTAAGTATAGACACTTGTGTCTTTCCTTTAGTTTTCAAATGTTCTATATAAAGTTTATATATATAATAATTTAATTAATTATAAAGAAATAATTATATTTCATCTGTATTTCTGAAGTTATTTTAATACACATGCATTCATACCACTTAGATTGCTAATTATATGATTTTATTGTACAGCTCTGAAATCACCATAATAAGAATTGTTTCAAAATGTGTAAAGTATGCAATTTAAGGGTTTTATATAATTATATAATTATAAATTAATTCTAATTATAAATGAAATCATTTTAAGTTTGTAGCAATTATTAATAAATTATTATTACATATAAAATCTAAATTGAATCAATATCTAAAACCCTATAAAATTTCAGATTTCTTCTTAAATTCACTTCATACAATATTAATAATTGTGATGTATAAAAAAAACAAGAAAGGTTTCATTCTCTTGTAAGCAGTTTGTCTTGTGCATCTTAATGATATTTGAACTTTTTAATGGATATTTAGTTACTTTTATCTATTTTTTTTTACAGACAAGCATAATAAATTACAAGCGATTCGGTTTAACCACTAGTTCAAGAAAAATTGAATTATAACAAATATAGAATCTTTAGTTAGTAAAATATTTTATATGCAAAGGAACAAGTAATAGGTTTATTCCATGCTGAAAAAAAGAAGAAAGAGAACACAACGTTTCGGCCGTGGATCCTTCTTCAGGTGTGTGACACCTCCACGGCCGAAACGTTGTGTTCTCTTTCTTCTTTTTTTCAGCATGGAATAAACCTATTACTTGTTCCTTTGCAGCCTACACATGCTGACGCAGCTACCCACCTGAAATATTTTATATGTATTTATTCCCAGAAAAAGTTCGTTTTGATAGTTATATTTTATATTTAATGTCTTGACAAACCAAAGACATGCACATTCTTGAAAAAAAAAAGTTATTGACAAGTTACAAAAATTACCATGCCAACTAATTAGGTGATACATATAGCGTAAGCATATTTCATGTATTAAGACTTTGTAAATAAACATTGTTCTGCCTATGTACAAAGTGCATTTGTTTATAACAGTTCATTTATACCATGAACATCTATCTGACTGACTTAGACTAAAATAAAAATATGTATGTGTATATTTTGTATGGGTACATTAGACAGAGTTTGGTATATTTAGTGAAAATATTTGACCAACACTTGAATTATGTGGGGCTGTTCAGTAGTTGATTATTTGATTATAATGAATTACTTTGAATGAATTTCAAGTTGGTTAATTTATAATTATTAGGATTTTTTGTAAGACAGAAAATTTAGAATCAGAATAGATAATTTATATAAAATTGATAATTTTACAACCTAGATTTTAAGGAACAGTTATACTTCTAGATTATCATCATTTTATGGTGATCTAGAAGTAAACCATCAGGTACTAAGTTTAGACCACAAAACAAAATGAAATATACAAACTGATATTGATATCACACACTTTACCAAACAAGTTTACAAATGGTCCAGGGGATGTGATTGCTGTGGAACTCAGACGTTCTGGATTTGCTTTCTGAAATGTCTACCAATCTTATGTCTGTTTCACCTTCCTTGGAAATGGCTGGGCACTTTCTGCAAGAGATATAATAAAATCTGCTTGTTGCATACACATGGGTGTATATCCTATTGGATATATATTTGTAGCAGTTTTTGTTGGAGCCAAAGGCATGAATGATGGCTATGGGCAGTTAACAGAGCTGTGGATTTCCTATATAATTTCCTTTAAGACAATGGTAGACGTTGGCTTTTAAATTATTTTTGATACAACAGTCAAAAAGTACAAAGTTTCTGAATGTACATATATTGTATATTGCTGTTGTGCGCCGATCATTTTATGTTTTCTTCAATGTTCAATGTAATGTCAAAACTGTTTTACTTTACAACATTCAGGTGCTACTGATATTTTTATAATGTAAAAACTTTGCAATGAATGATTCCATATTTTCATCAGTGTATATAACCTAGACCAATTTTAATGTTTGCCAACAATGAAAAATAACTGAAATTAGACATGCATATATACATATTTTAGAATCATTAAAAACGTCTGAAACAAAACTATTTGACTGTACAAAATATTGACACTAATACTGGGGTTATACTTTTAATACTTAAGATAATAGAATTTCCGTTGACTCTTAAAAGAAGTCTCTGAACACAGATTGTGATGTTTCAGTGCTATAAACCCAAATCATTTTAAGGTAGCTCTATAGTTTTTAACTATATTATTCATAAAGAAAGTATTCTGAAAATCATCAAGCATTGTTTGAAAAAAGTTTATAAATTATCTGTCCTGAAAAAAAAAATCATATTGCTTGGAAATTTGCCAACTTATGACATGTTAATCCATTCTATTTATAAATTAAGCATGAAAAATTGTCATTGCTTTCATTCTGTAAAATGTTTAACCACAATCTTTAGAAAAATGTATTTTTTATACGTAAACCAATTACTTCCTGAAGATGCTGAAGAGCATTTCAGAATGTGAAGAGTCTAATTTCACATTAAAAATTGAAGGGAAAGAATAAAACATACAAGAATCGTTGTTTCATCTATGGTGCCTTGCAGGTGCGAATGTACCTGAAATATTGTGCTTTACACATTATTTCTCCTTAATACTGTGGGATTAATTTCTGTTCCTTTGCAGCTCACATACTGACACAGCTCCCCACATTACATTATTAATGTACTGTATATTCTGTGTTTTTAAATCTGTTATTTCTGAAGAAAGAAAATTGAAGCAGTATTCTGGAGCAATATGACCTCCTTATTCTAAATTTGCATTGCCTATATAACTTTCTAGGAGTGATCTCGCCAGATTTGATATCTCAGCCCCGTTCCTCAGTGATGGTGCAGCTTGGAAAATCTGCCACTCTGGAGTGCACCATTGAACAAAAACATCTGAGTCACTTGGTCTGGTACAAACAGGTCATTGCACAGGCTCCCAGCTGCATCTTATCATCTTTTGGTCACAGTAATCTGTTTACATTATACGAAGGACTTAAAGATACACGTTTTGTCATGCAAAAGAATGGAACGAGATTTAATCTCCATATTTCAAAAGTTGAGTTTTCAGATATTGCTACATATTACTGTGGAGCAATACGATACACAGATCTGAAGTTTGGAAATGGAACTATACTGCTTGTTAAGGGTAAGGAGAGATTTTATTGAGACTTTTTTGGTGAAAGTTAGTTACATGTATTTTTGGTGTAAAAGAATGAAAGTCTTAGAAGAACCTGTAGAGAAATCATTTCATTCCAAAACTAGGTTTGCAGGTTTTGCATTACTGTTTATAAGGTTGTAAAGAACACAACTATTATCAGACAGCTACTATTCACATAATTGTAAATGCAACCTAGAGTCTATTCCAGAATCAGATGGTACAAAGTTTGACTTTTACTGTATGCTTCTTGTTTGCACATACACACAAGCACACAGTAATTTAGGAATAACATTTAATAATGGAGTGGCATCATTCTACATTGTTAGCATTTTAAGAACAAGGCTGAAATGTTTGAAAAACTCCCGCTTATTTTCTTGTTGGCGGATATTTATTTTAATTTCATTTCTTTAAGTTTCAAAAAGTTTATTTAATTTCACAAGAAGATCTGCACCCCTGAACATGACTCCTCTGACAATGGGATTTTTTATGTTCCAGTGTGTAAATCTGAAACATTATTCTATTTATAAGTCTCAGAAGAACAATTGTTGCAGCCACTATACAGTGTAGTCAATTTACATTTATAATAGTTATCCAAGTTTCTGGGAGTTTAATAAAACTGAAACATTTTCTCTTATTGCTTAACATTGCAAACAACTCTGATCTTCATTTTTTGTCCTACTTTTGTAACCAATCATTAAATGCTAACAAAATATTATGTTATTAATACAACTCAGATAACGTATTTCCTACAACAGTTGCTTTATGGAAACTTTTAAAAATGACTGTATTTGATTTTAGCATACAATATGTCTGTCTTGTCATAATTAACATCACCAATATTATTTTAAAAATGTCCTTTTTGTAATTGACATTATAAATAAATATGTAAAAATTATGTGTAATATTGTATTAAATTTGAGTGATCACAAAATCAGTCAGCTCTGTTTATGTTCTATTTTAGATGATGAAGCCAGAATTTGGCCTGTCCTGTCAACTCTGTCTAAATCACTCCAGTCAGGGGACAATACTGATAAGTGGTGTGTGATGTACAGACAGACACATACAGGAAACCCAAATGTTTCATGGTTTGGGCATCTGTTAGGGCAGCCTTTCACACAATTGACTTTCACACAAGGAATTGTGTTTCAGAGAAGCTCAGAGGCTGGGCTTCCTACACAGAGCTGTATCTATGACCTCCCCAAAAGCAACCTCAGCCACTCTGAAGCTGGAATTTACTACTGCGCCGTGGCCACTTGTGGAGAGATCGTGTTTGGTAATGGAACACTACATGATGAAGCTCATGGTAACTGATTATTTTTTTAAATTCTTATGCTATCAAATAAGAGAAAAGCCATCTAAAGCAAATATGTAAAAGAGGAACAGATTTGTAAAATTGTAAATCCATTATTCATTGTTTGCCTCTAAAGGTTTTAGTAAACATTTTATTTATTTTAATTAATATATAATTATTAATATGACATGCAATATCAGGTTTCTTCACAACAATAAAAGGTTCTGAAAGGCATTTAGCAAATTATCCTATTTTACTTTTCAAACAATATTTACACAGTGTTTTTTTTTTTCATTCAGTATACCAGAGCCATGATTCCAGGCAATTTCTGGTGGTTTTGGGTTTGGGAATCCTGAATGGTGTTCTTGTTGTTGTGATTGCTGTCCTGTGGTATGGATACTCCCAGTTAGCCCATTGTGGCTGCTGTGTGGGTAAGCTATTTCTGTTTCCTCCAGATCATAGTTACTGGGACTTTAATCTGGTTTTGAACACATACCAGTGTTGTATAAGAATTATGAGCTCAAAAGATAAATAAAACCAATACAATTATACAATTATATAAAAAAGTTACAAGCTGCATTATGCAAACTACCAACATTTTATTTTTTTCAGTATACCAATAAACTAAATTCTTAACTTCAAAGTATAAAAGCTTTTTTTCCCTACAATGCTGTTGTAAGTGCTCAATGCAGAAAGCCTGTCTGCTCTACTTACTACACACTGTGACTTCACTCTGTACAGAAAGTGCCTGTGAACATGTGGCCCATTCCTCATCCCAGCACACACAACCTGACAGCTCCCAGCACCGGGTATGTCTGAGGATTATTTTTTGTATTTCCATTCACACGTCTGATCATTTTAGAACGAAAAAAAATCTTTGTGTTTAACCCAGTGGTTTACAGTGTATGCTGTATTAGGACACATCCACTTTAAGTAACTTTAACCACCCAGTAAGTATGGAAATATTTTCTTCTACATACAATGTTTGAGTATACATTCCAAGACAATGACATTACCGTCACCATGCTTCAGAACCTGATCAGAAGAAAACAAAATAAACTATTACCAAAGTGATAAAAAGGTTAATGTGTGTAAAAAACGAATATGTATACACCAAAGGACACCATCTCTTTTGTAATGCATGGTGAAAGTAATGTCATGCCTGGCTTGAGACTACTAAAAGTTTTTTTTTTTTTTTTAACCAAGAAAACCACCTAAAATCTGATCCTTCTAAAACATCCTGTTTATATTTATATTTACTGTATATTTATATTTAGGATGATATATTCCTGTAAATAACCACTTAATTTTATTTTTCAGAATGAGGAAACATCAACAGTTACTTATGCTTCCTTAGAATTCAAGCACATCAGGACTGGAATGGGACACAGGAGACGAGAACTAAACAAGGATACTATATACAGCAATTTCATGTTCCAACAATGGGAATAAGAACGTTAATTCTTAACGAATAAAATAATTGTTCAGAGTTGCATTATAATACATTACCTGTATTATACATTCTAACTGTTGCAATTGTAATACCTAATGATATTACTTACATTATATCCTTGTACTTAGAAGGTATGTTAGGGGTATAAACTTTTTTAAAACTGATTACTCAATTACTCATTACTCAAAATGGCTCTAGCTCATTGGGAACAGTTAACAGACTATAATCATCAAGTTGATTTTTGAGTGGATTCAAGTTGGGATTTTGACTGGGCCGCTTAAAGACAATCACTGGGTGACTCAGTCAGGTTGTCCCCCTAGGATTTTCTTGATCTTTCCAAAACCAATTTCATAATTTCAGGATCTCAGTCCTGACAGGCTTCTGAGTTTCTGCTTACGAGAAATCCCCTTAACATAACATTGCTACCACCTTAACACAAAAAGAACATTTAAAAATATTGAAAGGGTTGTGTTGGGATTGTGCTATTAGTCCAAAATGTTCAAATGTTTACTTTTAATATAAACAATATGTGACATATTTTGCATTGTTTCTCACACATACTAAGGTACATTTTATTTGATATTGGTTGTTTTCAGTAAAGGCTTCTTTCTTGCCACTCTATCTTAAAGGTCTGCTTTGATTAGTAACTAGGATAATCATTTCAATTTTGCAAATCTTTCAAAGGCAAGAGTTCATTGTGACACTCCTAACTAGTTTCCTGTTTGCCTGGCTCCTCAGTTTAGAAGGGTTACCAAGGGTTCATCTAGGTAATATCTTGGTAATGTTTCACTTCTTATTGATGGACTTTGCTGTGCTCAAAGAGATAAATATCCTTCTCCTGATCTCTCCAAAGAGATAAATATCCTTCTCCTGATCTCTGCTTTGCTATCACTTTATCCTTATTTCATCAGCTCTTTGGTCTTCAAGGTTGCTTTTGCAACTTGTAATTTGAAGTTCTGTGGTACCTTACTGAGACCGAAGCAGAGACCATTACAATTTATCAAGGTAGAAAACCTTTATATTTTTTCAGATTGGAATAAACCTTTTCTTGTTCTATTTGAAAGTGTCATGATTGAAAGTTTACATAGGACACTTTGCAGGGAGTGGATACTTTTTCAAGGCACTGTATATATACAGTATATAACATAATCCAGCAGAGGGTAGAATAAATCTTAAGAAAAATTTTAAGAAAGTGGCAGTGTGGATACTGAATGGAGTCACTCACCAAGATGCATGCTTTTGTGTGTGACTCTTTGACGAGAAGTTCCATAATTGTTCTTCTAATAGTACGTGCTACTAGTATGTGACTATACTTTATTGTAGAGCTTAATTACATACTTTTGCAATAAAAAGTGTGATTCATCTGTTTTTATTGTTGTTGCTATATTTTGTGTACTATATTTTGTGTAATTATAAACACTTTGTAGGGATGCAGTCACAGCACAGTCCAGTGAAGGTCTGAGATGAGTTTAATTGTAAAGAAAATGGCCACTTCTGGAGAACACTGAAGGAGATGTACACAAGGTGTATTTCCCACAGTGCCCTGAATTGCAACAGTTTTACAAAGGTTTATATAATCTGAGTCGAGTGCAGTCATCTTATTACCATGAATGGGGGTTTAAGAGTCCACATTCTACTTATGGCCCAGTGGCTGTTCTTTAAGATGTTGTCCTGCCTTTCAGCTATTTATGTGGTGTCAAGTACAACATCAGATGTCTGTTCCAAAATTCACTAAGATCAGGTCAATGAACCCAGGCCAGAGCCAGATATCTATAACTTTAACAAAATATGCTTTAGTATACATAAACGTATTTATTATTCCAGGTTTATTTCCTTTATATTTTACAATTAATATGAACTTGTAGAAATTAATAATAATAATAATCCAAATCAAAATTTAAATTTATACATTCCATTGCCTTAACACACAATATAGTGATGACAGATTTAAAAGCAGTCAGCCTGATTTCTATTTGTCACAATTACCATTTAGGACCCAAAAACTAATTTCATTTCTGGGCATAGGGCACAAATTCCAGAATGCAAATGCGCCTGTCTATGTGGGTTTCCACATTCTCCTTTCTAACTTAACTGAGGCCACATCAAATTTAATAATAAGCAAATGTACATGTTAGCTTAACTCTTTAGTGTATTTAAATATATGTTTATATAAATATAGAGAAGGAAGTTTGATATCAGCTTTATTTTCAGAACTGAAAAAAATAATAAAAATAGGAGACTGAAGCCAGAGCCTAGGAAATCCTGTTATTGTGCAAATTAAAAAGACAGAAGTCACACTTTTTGCTAAGCCAACATGTGGGACTTGCAGACAGTCTACTGTGAGCTCTAATCTGCTCCTTTACGACAGCAGTTGTTTAATATTTCAGGGTAATTTCCTTTAAGTTTGACCCTTAATATGAACTTGTTGATATAACTCCAATAAACATAGTTAAATTTTTCATTGTTATTTACACAGTTCCATCACCTTATCACACAATATCCAGGAGATTATGGATTTCGTTTAAATTACGTTCATTGCTCTTTGACAAAATTACCGTTAAAGAACAGAAACACTATAATAGTAATCCTTATTACCTGAAATAAATATATATAAATGCATTAATAGTGTTGAGTATAGTGATTATAGTGATTCATAGTGTTGATTATAGTGTTGATTAATAGTGACTAATCTTTAATGATTTAATTGCAAATTATGAAACAGTTTAATGTATACACATTTTATGAATTAATCATTTCATACTAATAACTTGTTTTAATGTGTATTTAGAAATTAACATTTGCTCTACCTATAAAGTTAACAATTCTACCTATATACAACCTTTATTAAATTTTAAAATATTTAAAAAAATAACACTGTGAAAAGGGAAAGGGCCCAACTATCTTACAGTGCAGAGCCCTCCCCTGTTTGTCTACAGAGGGTCTTCTGGATCCAAACAACACAGCAGTAGCCAGCAGACTTCTAGAGGAGACGTCATGTTCGCGATCACTATACCGTCATTTAGTTTTTGCACAACATGTAAGTCTTCACTTTTGAATTTCTTTATGGTTTATTGATCTGAAATATTTATAAAATAAATATTTATGTCAGATTTAAATTAGTATGCATTATAAGGCTCATAAGTGCTTTATTACTATAATGAAACAATGTATAAGAAATGGTTTGTAGGTAACATAAACTAAGGTGTGAATGAGAAGTTATATATATGATATAAATGTATGTAATATAGAATTATATATATAGATGATAAAAAGTAATACAGTATATACTGAGAAAACGTATACATGTTGTTGTCTGTGATGCATTAGAAAAGGTGTTATTTTAGTCATAAACACCATTTTTTGTCAATGTGCCTTTTTATTAACAAATTGTAATATCATGTGTGACTAACCACATGAATAATTTATCATATAAAATGAAGAAAGTGCAGAGGTAGCTATTCAGAATGTATGGTAAAACGCAGGAACATGAGATTGGGGCTACAGGTTGCCACGGCACGTGATTTGCTAGCCAAAGGTGATCAACAGGTGGCACTTGTGGTGTATTAGTTGTTAGTGAAATGATAATGACTCTGAACGTCATAAACAATATTAATTTAGGAATATAAATATATGATACATACAGTATATGGCTGGTAGTGGTACATAAAATGTAAAAAATATACAATAGTATTCCGCCTTCTTCGTAAACATTTTATGCATTACTGTCTTGAACTCGATCACTTACAGTATTTATTTTGGAAAGTTTTGATGTGCTTATTATAACTATAATAATAGGCTGGGCAAACATTTTAACATTTTAACAATTTTAAAATAAAAAAAAAATAAATAAATAATGAGATATAACGATGTGTTCCTGCTTAATTTAGACATTGCACGACTTTAAAACATATTAAAGTTTTAAAACAGGTTTCGAGAGTTAAAAACCACTTTTTATGCACGAAAAACGGGTGATTTTTCTTCCTCGTGATCAGCTCAGAATCTTTGTGTACGCTGTAAGGTTTTTACTTCTTAATTAAACGTTTAAAATACAC